ATCAAGACTTTTGTCAAGTACTATAATAAAATTACTCCAGCATAAAATTTCAGCCTGATTAGCTTTTATTGATTCATGTTTCGCATTACATGCTTTTTTATATAAGTGGGCGATATTTTGGAAGATGCTTGATTTTTCCTAACCTGAAGACAGCAAAATTTCAGTTGCATATTCTGGAGATATGGAGTTATGAACTTGGGTAAATGGGGATGTATCATCCTGGCTATTACCTGCAGTTATTTCCTGAATTAAGCCTTGTTTTTTCTTTCGCTTATAAGAAATAGTAGGTGCAATATTTTCTTTATGTATCATTTCTATGAATTCAAGGCTACTAGCCAAATTATCATCAACAATATCTTGTTATGAAGACGTTATGGATGTTACGGGCTCTGTTGGAGATTTAAATAAATATTTATTGCAAAGCAATGACCCTTCGGGTCTAGACTCACCTTTCTGTAGCTGGGTTGAGCTGTATATTGGTTCAGGTGTAGAATCGGTAATAATAGATTTCTTATCTTTTGTAGAAGATGCATTTTGGTTATTAATAGTGACTAGAGTCCGCATTTGTTCCAATTTTGTAACTCTATCTTTCAGCTTGGTATTCTCAGCAGTAAGTTTGGTAGTATCTGTTTGATGTTTCTTTCTAGTTCTTCAAATCAGATTTTGAGTACTGCATTTTCTTCTATAGCTTGTTTTAGTTCTGCATTCTTAGCTTCGACTTTTGCAAACTTCTTTCTAAGTATAGGAATTTCAGTATTCTCTTTTCTAAGTTCAGTAATCTTAGCTAAGAGCTTAAATTTAATTCTTTTAGTAAATCAATTGCATTTGACATTATTTTATATAGAAATTAGATATATTCAAAAGCTAATTAGCAAAAAAATTTCGCTGACCTTGGGTCAGGCAAATTTCATTGACTGTAATCATGATATAATATATTATATATAACTACTGTGCCTCATATAATATAGTACGTGACCTCACAGGTCACAATGTCATGTGACTACTGTGCCACATACTGCACCTTGTGTAATATAGTATATGACTTTGAGGTCACATTCTTATAAAAAAATATTAATATATAAAGTTGGTAACTGTTATCAAAATAGAATTGGAATCTGCAAAGCAGGACACTTCATGTCTTGAAAAGATGAATAAGATATTCACTTATTATTGTGGAGCAATAATGCAGAGCATCAAATCTTCGATTCCCTTTCAGGTCTATAAACAATCGGCTAGATATGTGCATCTTCTCAATTATATAAGAAGTGGCGAGTAGGATGTACTTATATTGTTGTATTAATAAATAACCGAAAAAATAATTATTTGATTATCAGAAGCTTATTCTACTAATCCAATTTTAAAGTGGTATCACAACCAAGCCGTACACTTAGAGGATCATCTACTGCCTTAGTAAAATCAAAAACCATAAAATCTTGATCCCGCAAATGTTTATCGATGATCTTGGATACTTTTTTTGGATCATCTGTATATTGACATATGATTCTGCAAATATCGTCTCTAAATCTCGAGCCCCGGAATAAGGCTAGGTGTGAGATATTTTCACAAATAATTTTTGGGGTTTGTGTATATTTCTGGCTTATATATATGGGTGAAATATTTTGATGCCGGCCACTAATTAAGTACGGAATAATTCGTTCTTGTACTTTCTTTGGCTCAGCACATAAATCCTCAAACACAACAACTGTACTTCATTCTGGTGTGAATTTAGTTATATCTGGAATTTTATCTGAAGATAACCTTTTGAATGTAACATCATCTCGATATAGTTTCGGGCTATTTGCAAAGATCTGATAGCTATTTTGTACAAGTTGCCATTTAGACTCAAAATGCTTGCCTATTAATACAAGGTCATTATTTCTAATATACCACTGACCTTTTTTCCCCTTGAACATACATTGTAGTTTGTTACCAAGCATAAGATTTATAATCATGTTAGTTTTTCTGCTATGGGAGCCCCACATACCAGTAATCTGAATGGGGCAGCTGGTAAATACTTATTACATTTCATTCATTCTGAGGATTTGTTAGATATCTCATCGATATTGTATACAAATATGGGCTTTTTTTCTTCTTTCATTCTGATTAATTTAAGTAATACTTATATGTTTATTCTTTATGCGATAAATAACCTCTCTCTTGCAATTCACTTTTTATAAATGCATATAAATCTGAGTCGAATGGTATTTCAATCAGATCTATACCTTGCTTCTTGCATATCTCCGGCTTTTTTTGATCATGCTTCCTCTGTGAATCTAAATCTATTTCTCCTCGTTTATGAAACATTGAATTCTGAGAATAATGTTGAACCCTGTTAAATTCCCATGCCAATTTTAATTCTTTATTATACCCATCTAATTGCATCCCATTCAAAAATAATGGTTTACATGATGGAAATTTTTTACCAATCAGATCTTCGAAAATATATTTCGTGGATCGCTCCGCTTTAAAATGAAGACATAGGGGGCACCATTCAAATTTACGCTTCTGGGTCTTATAAGGTGCATACCACTAATGCTTTCCATTTTTATATGACCAAAGATATACATTTAGGCCATTTATATAATCAGTTTTATCAAGACATTTTCCATCATGCTTTTCGACATATGCAATAGTTTTAGCCATTTTATTAACTACACGAATGAAATTAATAGATTTGGAGCGAGTATTTTTTTCCAATATACTCTGGGGCGGATACTGAAGTTTTTCTAGATCTATGTGTATGAGCTCTTCACGTACAAACCCCGCTTTGGAGGATATTCATCGTTATCATCTCTGAGATAATATAAAATTGGCTCATTCTTTGTTACAACAATTTTTCGAATTTTATAAAGACTTGGTGAAAACATCGGATCTGTCACCTTTTTCTGATTCTCCATACCGCCTTCCCATTCTGCATTAGCAAGCAGATAGCGAACACTATCCCCTTTTTTTAACTTATTTTTCTCATCCTTTCCAACAGAACGCTTATACTTTGTAGATGGCCTAGATTCTACTCGTTCCAGTTTGATAGCTTTTGCTAGAGCTAAACCTTATTTTGATGAACCTGGAGCTCGAATGAGACGTGTCGGATAATTATTAAAATAATCTATTACTTCTGATAAATACTTGACCCACTCTCTTATTAATTTAGGATTTTTGGATATTGATTCGACAGCATACTGAATTTTATAAAGCA